ATTAATTTCTGATTAGATAATATGATGTCTAATTATAATTTACAGAATATCCTGGTCTTTTTTTTTTAATATTTACTAATAATGTAATGATCTTTTGTGTGAAGCAGCTTTTTTAATTATCAAAAATGTATGCCTTTTTTTTCATGAATTTAATAAACATTTATTTCAGGATAAAAATGTTTTGTTATTTGCACGTGGTATCATATAATTAGTTAATTTTTTTTTTTTTTTTAAATATGTTGAAACAATTCTTTAAGTGACTAGTGGCAGTAACTAACAAACTCTGACTTTATATTGGTGTCTACAGTTGATATTCAAATTTACATTCAAACCAAGACAATTCATGGATTTAACTTTTAAAAAGTTCAAAATTTTAACTAACCTCTATTTAAAAAAAAAAATAAGTATATGAATAATTAATATTTTCTTTTGATTTATTGATCATCAATCAATATCTGACTTGTGTCCTGTCAATAATCATTACATGAAATTGGTTTTATTTTGTATTCAATCTTCCATTCATCATAAACTACTGCAACCCTAATTGAAATTAATATAAGTATTCTTAGATTCTTTTCAAAATGATACCACACATAACATCTTTTTAATTTTTTTTTTATTTTGTTTCAGTTTTAAACATTCTAAAAAGTCTTTTTCTCTTTTTGATTTTTGTTCTTTAGAAGATCATTAAACAGGTAACATAAAACGGTTTTAAATTTTAAATGTTTTGTCTTCTCCTGAATTTGAAGGCTCACCTTGGTCACAGATACATGGCCATTGATTCCATCAGAGGAACCCTCCTTCCTAACTGTTGACTTCAGTCTAGGAAGCCCTCCACCCAGCAATGATGTGCACTAGCTGCATACATATCTATGGTAGCCAGTCTACCTCATTGAGCTAGATGGCTGTTGACCCTACAAGAAGGTTCATCTGTTATTTGATGGATCTTGTTTTTAATCATGCTGAGTGTGTAACTCCCTTCCGTATCAGAAAAGCTTTAATAGGAAACAAGTTTGATTGCCAGTGACTTGACTATGTCGCAGGTACTGGGTTACATGATACCTGGCATATTGTCCATGACCAAGATGAGCCTCCAAGTTGTATGACATCAGTCGTGCTTTGTTTCTGAGAGGGATGGGCTCCACCAAGTCTACTTGCCCAAGAAGCACTACACATAAATGAATACCTTTTTCTCTCTCTCTCTCTCTCTCAATCCAGATATATGAGGGAACTAGTCAGGTGCTCAATGACTGTATAACCACACCCAGTCATGGAACTGATGATGACTTTTACTGAATTAATTACAGTAGCGTTTCCAGAAAATGTTCCATTCTTGTGTTTGTTTTTCTGTTATTTTTTGTTCTTTTCTAATGTACAGCATTAAATTTGATATGAAACATTTTCAGGGTTCCTACAAAGCTTGAATTCAATAAAAATGTTCTTCAAAAGAGAGGATTTTGATCAACCAAGCCAAACAATAGTCTGATTAATGTTTCTGAGTTATTTGCGGACTGTAATTCAGAATTGCCCTATCAGTAATGGAAATGAAACTAAAATGGCCTTGAGAAAAAAAATGTTAATGAATTGCAAGCAATTAAACTAGTTTATTTATGACAACATTAGATTTCAATTTCTTTTACTGTGATTATGCCTCTGAAAAAAAAATTGCTTTCTCAGATAAGGCTTTTCCAAAAAAAATTAAACATGGGCTTGGAAAGAAAAAAAAATCTCCTTTACATCTGCAATTACATAGCTCCATTGATAATCAATAGTTCTCATTTCAGAGCTGGCCAAGAGCTATGGACACATTTTGACAATTTAGATCAGCTGCCCATGAAAACTGCAGCAAGCAGTGATGTTTTCTTTTTTTAAGATTAATGATTTTGAAAATTAAAATTGTTTTAATGATTAACATTTTAAAAATAGTTTCTAAAAAAGAAAAAAAAAGGTTATAAAAAACTTGTATTTAGACAGAATTTAATTTTTTAAATTGTGTTTTTCATCACTTGATCAACTGGTTAAGATGGTATGATGCTGGAAGTCCAGAAACTATCAAATTAATCCAGCATTAACATCACTGATAACACATCCCAATGCATCTTTGTTATGTATATTGAGATTATATAATGTATATTTTATATGCTTTATATATATCTATATATATATATTGCTGCAGTTATAATAACTTTATACATTTTGAAAAATAGCAAGTAGTACCTAAGAAAAAGTATATTTTTATTTATTTTTTCATATTGTTTATACTTTGTAAGAAATTGGGGAAATGTTAAAAAAAATAAATTTACTCTAAATTGCTCTCATTTTCAAGAATATAAGAACTGGATTTAGAAAAGCAGTACAAAGCTATTTATAGATTTTGCAAGATGTGTCAAAAGAAATTCCAAAGATATTTCAATAATTACTAATGTTACCATTGACTTAAGAAACTTTTTTTTTTTTTTTCAAGAAAATGGTTTTAACTTTCTCATGTTTTATTGTATCATTAGTTTGTCTTGGAGAAACAAAATTTATCTACTTGGAATAATTTGTGATAAAAACTATTTCTCTTCAAATTTAAAAAGAAAATAACTGGAGAAATTAAAATTATGATTTGGGTTAAATTAGGAAGTTAAATGAGTATTCTGCTGGCAGGGAGAAAAATTTAAAGGTAAAGGTAATAAAAATGGCACTTTTATTTTTTTTTTTGAATATCTTTCACTTGAAATCACAGTTTAAGGTTTTTAAACAAAAGAATTGTTTCCAGCACTTTGATTGAATGAAATGTTACTTTTTTTTCATTTTTGCAACCTTTAATCAAAACTTTTTTTTTTTTCTTTTTTTTTTTAATTCTCTTCAGGTGTCATGGTGTTTTACCTGCCTATTTTAATTTGTATTTGATTATATTTATTACCTTTCTACCTCTTCATGATTAGAAAGTTACAAACTAAAGTATGAACAAAACAAAAAATGATGATAATAGCAGTAGCAGTTAACATGCATACAATTAGTGATTTTACTCAACATTACCAATCAATTCACTTGAGTCAATGAAATCCTAAAGTCAGTTTGACTTGAAAACAGTAACTAATCTATTTACAACTTTTCTAAATGAAGATGAGAATAGGAAAATTGTTTCTTTTTCTATCTTTTTTTTCCATTTTTATTTTGTTTGACCATATATTTCACCTGCAGAGAAATCTAAAGTATTGCAAAATAAAGTTTTCTCATTACACCAAGTGAAGAAAGAAAAAAATACATGAGAATAATAAAGAAAATTAGCCAGCTTGTCATATTAATCCAGCAGTATACATTTCCAAAACATTGTGCTCCCACCCCCAATAAAAGTGTATATATATATATATATAAGTAAAAAAAAAAAAAAAAAATTGCTGCCTTTTATTGACTTTTTTATATCACTTCTATAACCTTTATTATTAGAAAAATGTATTACTTCATTGCAAGATTGTTTTATTATTATTATTATTATTATTTTGACCTGTTCTCACAGGCCCATTGTGCACACCTGTTTACCTCAGGTGTTGATGTATATCTATTTTCAGTATTTCAGATGCTCTTATGTATAGACATGTTTACTCTTTCTCATCCCCCTTCTTTCCATGGTATAGTCAGAACAAGATAAGCTTGTATAAACAGTCCAGATGTTTTTTTTTTCCCCTAAAATACCAAGCAAGCTACCCAAGAGAGTGAGAGAGTTCCTTATATGTTGCTGACCAAATGATGGACCAAAACAATTCTCCTACCTCTTGAGTCTCAGCAGAATTATAACAGCCATCTTGCCCTGGAGAAAAAGAACGGATGCTTCCAGTGTTCCCACCTGAAAGCCTAAATGTGAACACCACAGGTTGCAGAAACACACAGGGAGTGAAAAAAATGAAGGAATCTATTTTTTTTTTTTTAAATAAAAGCTAGCATGTTTTACAGAACAGTAAGAAAGTCACGCACCATGTATTAAAAATATTTGATTGTTATTATTTCTTTTAACTTTATTATATAATTGACACATTTAAAATATTTGTTAAAATTTAGTGACTTAATTCTTGGTTTGCCCTTGATATTCTTTTAAGCTTACAGTCAACAATTGTAATCTTCAAAATGAATAAATAAAGTAATTTTGGTATTTATGCTTTTTGAACTGAGCTTACATATTTTTCAGACCCCAAAAATATGAACTACTAAAATAATTGGTTTAACCTGATAAGATATTTTATTAAATTGCTTTATTTTGGCTTTTATCATTATAACTTTTATTTTCTATTTTATAAACTTTTCATTCATATTTACTATCTCACTGTACCCAGAGAGTACTTCAGAGTGTAAATTAAGCAAATTAATTACATTTCTATCAAGTATTATAATATTGATTAAAGTATAAATGGCTATGTATCATATCTTATTTCTATTTAAGGCAGACTGAGTAAATATATCAAACACTTTCTGTTTCATTTTTTAATATGCAACTTTTTGGGTACAATGGGTCAGTTCCAGTTGAGATATTTAAAACAGTAGATTCCTTTAGTCTTTGAGCCATGTTTTTTTTTTGTTTTTTTTTTTTTTTGTGGTGCATGGTTTGAGCTGTCCTGTATTATATGCAAACATATTTTTCCTCTATGCACCTTCACACAGTCCATATACAATACACACAGACATAACATTGCATGATGTTCCTGTTAAAACCTTTGTTTGGTTACCCTCCAAGTGAAGGTAAAGAACAGGTCAGTGTAATAATAATAATAATTTTAACAAAATCATATAAATGAATGCTAACGTTTATTATTATTATATTTTTTGTTTTTAACTTTAACTATTACTAGTACTAATGGCACCTCCTTCCCAACCCCTATATTCTTCATTTTCTGTTTTCTCTCTCCATTGCCTATTTCTTTCTCCTTCCCCCCACCCTGAGATGCTTGCAGTAGACAGGTCAGTAAAATCGTGGCAGCTCACCCAGGTGACTGCTCTGCTAGCTATATTGAATTTTAAAGGTGTTCGTTACTTTTCAGTCATTGAGGGAGGAATAGCACAAGCCGTACCCGAACACCCCAAAAGGGAAAACATTTTCTCTCTCAGCACTGCATTTGGAGATGCTTACCTATTTCAGGTAGTAAATCATTTTTTTATTCTCTTGCATGGGGGAGTGTTTGTCTCTCTGATTTTGAAAAAAAAAAAATTAATATTTGTTATAAAAAAAATTACCAAGATAAAATGCAAAGCATAAATTTTTTTGACAATTCATTCATTAATATAAATTTTACCAACAGTAGAATATTATAATTGTTCTTCCTTTCCTTTTTTTTTTAATTCATTTTAATTATTCTCACCTAGAACCTTTTTGTACAATAAGTTACCAAATAAGGTGCACTTGCCTCCCTGTCCACTCTCTCAAAAAAGAAAAAAATGTTACCATATCTCTGATACTTGATTTACTAGTACTAAACTAACACTTGAACATCAGTCTGCTGATTACCCTATAATGAAATTTATATAATTGTAAATGATTTAATTCAGATCACAAATCAGATTAATGTCAAAATAGAAAAGCAACAAAAACAATCTTTAAGTATGGAAGAATCATCAGTTGAATAGTATTTTCTAGATATTCCATATAAAGGTGTATTGCAGGAAATATACTTGTTTCATAACATCTTGATTTTTACATTAATAGTGCCCTCCTCAATATATGAAACTATCAAAATAAATTAATTTCAAATTTGTTTTTTATATATAAAGTGTGTGTGTCTGTGTGTGTGCATGCACACAACCATTTTCTCAGATCTATGCTTAAAAATGGCTTCAAGTGAATGAATCCTTTAGGTCTTAAAGGAGACAATTCTTCATCAGATCTTATATACTAATGCTACAGAATCACAAAGAACTTTACCAAATAACCAAAACCCACATCACTTGAAAACTTCCAACAGCAGCAACAGCTAAAATGAATAGTACATTTAACTAGAAGGGAAAATAATGATATAATTAAGGCATTGACTTTCTACACTACCTGAAACAAAAAATTAGGAGGGAAACTCTCATCAGTAATAGAAAAAAAATGAAAATAGTTGCCTTGAGAAGCAACTCATTCATGATAGCTTTCTCATGGTTTAATTAGTTGAGCACATTTTGTTCATAGAATTAGTTTTCCTGATGAAAAATGGGAATACAGGTTCGATTACTGTTGGGAGGCACATTTTTCTTGAAGAGGATTTCTCAATCTAGGCCAGTTGTTATTAATTACACAGTTTTAAAAAAATATAAATAAAACAGGGATGTCAAATTTATAGTAAATAGTAACAAATGGTGCACTGAATGCAATAAATTAACTGCTTTTTTTATTGCTTTGGAAATTTATCTGATTGAGATTCAAAATCAGAATAAGTTATTACTGATAGAAGTAGCACTATTTTGACAAAACATTTAAAAAAAGAAAATGAATGTTTGATAAAATATGTCACACATACCAAGATGAGCTTCATATATTTGGGAAAGATGTTAGAATAATATATACTGGGAGCAAACTGCATGCATACAAAAAATGAATTCAGTAAATATACAAAAATAGAGAGGTGGGTGGAAGACAAGCATGTATCTTCTGACTAGAGTTATTCAACATTCACAGTGAAGTGATTCTGAAAAAAATAGAATTCCTAGGAGGATTCATTATTGGTGGCCACAATCTTAACAACATTAGATATGCAGATAACACAATGTTGATAGACAGGAACTTCTAGAGAAGGTAGTAAAGCAAAGCGAGAAGAAAAGACTGAACATCAGTTATAAGAAGATAGAGTGTACTGTGTAGGGTTTTTAACAAAAAGAAGAGCCCAACATACAAATTGGAGATACCAAGGTCAAGAAAGAAAGTATAAAAAGTATCTAGGAAGTGTTTTAACAAACAACAGAAAATTTAATACCAAAATCTGAAAGTGTATTTGGATAATAAAAGATACCTTCAAAAGCTAAGCAAAGTATTGAGAAACAGGAAAATGTTGTTAGAAACAAAAATTCCTGCAAGATCAAAATTTTCAAAACGGGTATGAAAATTTCATTAGAAGCAAAGAAAAGAGTACTTAATTGCTATGTAATATCAATCTTCCTATATGGTAGTGAAAGTTGGACACTATAGATAAAGAGACTTGAGGCAACAGAAATGTGGTTCTGTAGAAGGATGCTGAAAATACCATGGGTTGCATATGTGAACAACAACAAAGTTGTACAGAAAATGGAAACAAAAAGGACACTTATAGTTAACAGTAGAAAGAGACACTTGAAATTTCTTGGGCATATAATGAAGAAAAAGGACTTAGAAAATTTGACACTCATATATTGAGGGTAACAAAAACAGGAAAATAATGCATAACCTACCTAACGAGCATGTGTAAATGGTTGGCAGAACAAAGACTAGGAGAAAGTGAAAAGACAAAATTTACGAAGGCCTACAAAAAACAGGAAGTTGTGTAGAGCTATGATTGCCTATGTCATGAAGAGACATGGGACATCAAAGAGAAATGGTAATGATAATATTAGCCATTTTTTTATAAGGAAACACTTAGTATTGACTGAGCAGCCATTACCATTGTTGGTTGAAATTTATAAAATCTTTCTCTGCAAAGAAGTCTATTTTCCTTAAAAATTCTTTTAAAGTACAATAGCTGTTATTGCACTTTCCTGTATTGACAAGGTTTCCTTCCTAACCTTTTGTTTAAAGTAGTGTGGAATGTCAACATCTTGATTATGACATTATTTTCTCTTCAAGTTACAGGTGATATGCATTTTAGTTGTTGCTAATGTTGAAAGTTCTGAAGTGATATGGTTTCTATTATCTGGTACTGTTTGTGATTCTGTAGTGCTAGTCCATAAGGTTCACAGATTTTGGTCTTCATGAAACCCACTCAAAGCCATTTTTAACCATTGATCTTAGAAAGTTCTTGTATGCAGCTGACAGCTTAGGTATTTCTGAACAGGTTTGGCACCATGCACTCAGCCCATATGAAAGTCTCAATCTGATTACGAACATGACTCTAGTCAGGTTAATGTTTTGGTTTTGTAGCAATTTGAGGTGTTGGGCAAAACTACCTTCAGTGCAGCCTATTCTATGTTCAATTTCCTTATCTTCTGTAATTAAATGCACATTATTTTATATGCATGCAGCAATAAGAAAAATGAATATGAAATTGTAATCAGCAATTCAGGCCCAAATTAAATAATGTAGCAAAGCTTTGGGAAATTTTGTTTTTCTATAGTAAGCTCATCAGTACACAGTAACTTTCTACTTATCCAGATTAGCTTTATACTATTTACAAAACAGCTTCCCTTGTCAAGATTATGATTACAATGATCCATATACAAAATCTCATACATAGCTTTTATACAACAAAGATTTGACCAGTCTGTCACATCTTAGCATTTTATTTCTGTTGACTGCTTAAGAGTTATTGTTGTGTGGATATATCTGATCAGATTTGCTACCTTCACTGTCTTCTAGTAATAAGAGTTCACTATGAACATAGCTGCTTTAAATTTCTATGGTTTTGTCTCTGACAGTCTATTTATTTAATGGGTAGACTTGTAATAGATTATGGTGGAATGTTCTTCTTAAATAGTATTCCCCTATAACACAACCTAACCCACTTCCCAAATTAAGCATGTTTGATCATTGAAATATTGATTTTGAAAAAAGTGGGTCCAGCTGAAAAGTTTTCAGTGTTGCCTCATACATTAATCTTGAATTTCACATCACTTACTGTTCTTGATGCAAAATAAGAGCATATTTATAGAAATTTGAGAAAAAAAGTGTGCAAAATTATATTTGGTTAGGTATTAAAGAAAAACTTTAATCACTTTCTGAATTCTCCCATTATACTATAATTAAAAAAAAAAAAAGAAGTTATTAAAGAAAAAAATATTTTAATATATTAATGAATGACTTGTTGAAAAATGTGCTGGATATTTTTTGTGGAAAAGATTAAAGAACCAAAAAATCTGAACAATTTACTCATGACGATGATGATGATGATGGTAATATTTCTGCTCTCTGCTTTGTAAATATTTTGTAAAAATGTAGCATCAAACTGTATCAGGTGTTTGATCAATATGGCAGGCTGTCAAATTTTGTGAGTGCCCATTCAAATCAACATCCTGTTCATTCCCAGACTTGTCTCTCCCAACCAATGCAAAGATAAATAATCTTCAGTGAAATGTATTAACCATTAAAACTGATTTATTAGTGATGGAATTTCTCTCATAAAAATGGAAATCGTTTATGAAACCCTAGACTTTAACAGAAAAAAAAAAAAAAAGCATGAGTCCCTCTTATAGAAATTATATTTACCTTCTGCATAAAATTTGTGATCAATTAATGATCTTACATCTAGTGAGCAAAATAAAATATTGTTTGACAGACAAGTAGTTAGTTATTAGACATAGCTTAGTTTTAGCACATGATCACAAATTAGCTTACTAACCATTACCCCTTAAGCATATAAGCTGGGGTTCTCAGCCTAACCCACTTCCTAAAACCAGTATTTTGATCTTTGAAATACTGATTTTGAAAAATGGGTCCAGCTGAGAAATTTTCAGTATCACTTCATATATTAATCTTGAGCTTCACATCATTTACTGTTCTTGATGAAAAATAAGTGTATATTTATAGAATTAAAAAAAAAGCATGTAAAACCATATTTAGTTAGGCAAAAAGAAAACTATAATCAATAATAAAGTATAATTACTGTCTGAATTTCTGGGATGAGCAGTTTACATTATTTACATCTGGATTAATGTCCTCATTATCATAAGGCTTAAGAATCAAAGTTCTAAGTTTCAGAAAACAATAGCTCAATGGATTAAAACATTAGTGTATTTGATGGCATAGTAATTATAAGTTCAATCCCAGAGCCTGGGTAGCACATACTCAGAAAATGTGGCAAACAATATCTGAGCAGTACTAAAAAGAACAAAACAAAATCTGCCTAGATATGGATAGCAGAATAAGAAGAATCTAACCTGTAGATTTAATAAAGGATTCCATTTGAAATTTCTTGAAGGTTACTTGGATCAACAGATACCTGAAGAAGGCTCGAGAGCACAATGGCCAAAACTTTGTGA